ATCGATGAGTGTACATGGCGCCGGCCATTGAACACAGTGATGAGCCGTGGAGACAAACAAATATTTTTTTTTATATTTATTTAATGATTTTAAAACTTTTCGTGTACTTTGGTGATGTTTGGACTTTCTCTGTCATCCCCACTTTTAACACTACTTGACCCTAAGGTCAAGGTATGTTAGTTGGTTACTACGGTACCTTCTGTGGGACGTCTGTTTGGACATGTTGTCATGAACAGGTTTAAAAAGCCGATATTGAAGCAGCCTCCCTTTAGTTCCTGCAGCACTGCTGGTGACTAATGTTGTGCTGTGTGTAAGGTAAATATTTCTCTGTCATTTTAAATAATTTATGTAAATGTATTTGCACATTTACAAAGACTGGGCAGTGAGGGTTTACGTTTTTGCTGGATTCTGACATGTTTTTTTTCTATTCGCTTGATCAATTTTAACAAGAGAAACTAAAAAATCTGTGTTTTCATTTCATTTTGCCTTGTAGATAGAAAAACAATGTCTTATTCATTTCAGAGTTAAAAGATGAGAAGCAAATCGTTGTACAATTGCTTTCTCTCCTAAAACTACAATGATGGTGAATTCTACTTTATCCTACTTCCTTCTTAGCACTTATATCCATGTTGGGAATTTGAGGTACTTGTACTTTATGATAACTACATTTGTATACATTGTGATTGTTGTTGCCAACACGTCTCTGATTGTGGTTATCTGTGTGAACAGGAGCTTACATGAACCTATGTACCTTTTTCTGTGCAGCCTGTTTGTAAATGAACTGTATGGTAGTACAGGGTTGTTTCCATTCCTTCTGGTTCAGATCCTCTCTGACATTCACACTGTCTCTGCTCCGCTCTGCTTCCTGCAGATTTTCTGCTTGTTTACATATGTACATATACAATTTTGTAATTTAGCCGTCATGTCCTATGACAGATATCTTGCTATCTGTTATCCTCTGCAATACAACATTCGTATGACTTCTAACAAGGCGGTCATCTTCATTATTCTCATTTGGTTGTACTCTTTTGTGAAGTTCTTGATAACTTTATCCTTAAATATCCGTTTGACACTGTGTGGAAACATCATTAACAGTTTGTATTGTCATAACTACCTTGTTGTTAAATTGGCATGTTCTGACACTCAGGTGAACAACATTTATGGATATTTTGGTACTTTTCTCACAATCTTTGTCCCTCTCTTTCCAATCCTCTTCTCTTACATTAAGATCCTCAGAGTGTGTTTCTCTGGTTCCAAACAGACCAGACAGAAAGCTGTCAGTACCTGCACACCTCACCTTGTTTCCCTCCTCAACTTCTCTTTTGGCTGCGGCTTTGAAATGTTTCGGAGTAGATTTGATATGAGCGGTGTTCCCAGTGTGCTGCGTATTGTTCTGTCACTGTATTTTCTCATCATACAGCCACTAATGAACCCTGTCATGTACGGACTGCAAATGTCAAAACTAAGAAACATATGTAAACATGTGCTCTGTTATAAACTGTTGGCTGGTGGCAGAAATAACAAAAGTGTCAGTAAATGAATGTCTTGAAATGTTCTGATTAAACATGTATCTAAGTGGAAAAAAATGTACCGTGTTTATGGTGTTGACAACAAGGTATTATATTTCCACATTAATTCCAATATTCATGTATCCACAGACAGATTGCAGATGTATACAGTGTAATACACACCTAAATTATTACCTGTACACATTTCCATCTGATCAATGATAAAGACCTGCAGGACATTACACAACATCAAATCCACGTCCTGCGGCCCTGACATTATAACAACAGGCTTGGTATATGAAATAATAAACATGTATGGCTTCTTGAATCAAACTAACTGTTTTGATGTGTTCCAGTCAGGCTTTCGACTGCACCTCAGCACGGAGACTGCTCTTGTCAAGGTCTTATTATTAGATCTCAGTGCTGCATTTGACACTGCTGACCACAAGATATTAGTAGACTGACTGGAAAACTGGGTGGGAATCTCACAGTTCTAAATGAGTCTGAATCCTTCCTTAAAAGACAGGGAAAACGTGTTTCTAAAGGAAATTAAACAAGAACAACAAATATATGACATGGCTGCAACCTAAGAGGCCGGCCTTCAAGCTGTAGAAGGAGGACCTGTTCATATGAACAGAATCTCAGTGTTAATACTAAAGCACAGATTCTGCCACGTCTCATTGGAATGCAAAGATTTGTACATGAGCTCAACATGGAAGAGAAGGCAGCGCTCGGCTTATTTAAATGTGCAGGTGCAATAAACATATTTTGTCTCCTACATATTTGAATCTTAAAGATAAATAATTGTGATCTTCATAATAAACGGGACATCATTTCAGCAATAAAAGTGCAACCCTGACTGTTAGTGTTGATTGTAAAGTAGTACTAGTACCACTAGTAGTAGTAGTCGGCAGGTTACTTGATACTCAAGGTTTTAACAGTTGTAGTCTCACAAGTTTGAAATACCCTTATTATCAATGTTCCCAGTTTTAAAATGAAAATGTAGTTAAACATTGTTAAACTGTTAACACCTAAAAGCTTTAGGAATCCAAACTATAACATATAATAAGTACCCTGTATCAAGATTGATGCAAAACAAGTGAAATTTGACCTTTTTAGAGAGATTTAGCAAAAACCCACTTCTGGGGTCATTTGGGTGGATTTGACCTATCTCTGGCCCCCCTTGGTCGATTTTGGTGATTGACATCTCTTTTTAACCGCTAGAGCCAATGGAATCGAGGGGAACTCCCACATACATACACACGTTACCAAATAAGGAGTGAGAGTGACGCGTAGCCAAAACCGGAAGCTGCGATAACTCTGGTGGCTACCATTAGCAGCTAATTTTTATTCCCCGATATTTACATAAAAATTGAATTTTGGATTATCAATAATTTTGCACATAATTGCAGCCTCCTAAGCAGTGGCGGCGCTAGGGAGTGGCTACTTGGGCTCAAGCCCCGGATGTTATCTGAAAAGCCCCCTTGATGTTATCTAAAAAGCCCCGAATGTTTCCCTTAAAGATTTTTTTTTTTTTTTAAAACGTCTCGTGAGTAATGTGAAGTACCGGATTCCAACAGAGAGGCAGCAGCTGCGGGACAGTAGCCTGCGTACTGCATAGCCTCCCCTGCCCTGAAGAAGAAGTGATCCTTCGTTAGCGTGAACAGTAGCACCGCTGTGAGGCTCTGCGAGGCTCTGCGAGGCTCTGCGAGGCTCCGGCGAGTTCACAGTTCATGCTCCACTTAGTGTAAAGTGTTGCTCGGATTGGCTAGTGGAGTCCACTAGCATTTATTTGAAAGAACGTGTTCTTAAAAAGGGCGGGAAAATTGGACATTGTCCAAATGTCTCAGTTTTCACACCGCTGAATCCTTGGGTTGGATGCATGAAACAATTCAAGTATCAGCTCCCATTATCTTTGCATTGTGGAGATATAACCTTTTACATTTCAAATACCCCAGATCCTGCAGTTAAGTATTTGAAGTGGACGTACACTTAGAATACCCTACTGAAGACACGGTGTATTCAAAGTGGACGCCTTGCGCCTCCCTGTGTATTCAGCACGAACGTACCCACCATCCATTTCACCTGGCTCAAAATGTAACCCCCTCCGATAGAAATTAGGGAGAGCTATCGATGAGTGTACATGGCGCCGGCCATTGAACACAGTGATGAGCCGTGGAGACAAACAAATATTTTTTTTACTATTTATTTAATGATTTTAAAAGTTTTTGTGTACTTTGGTCATGTTTTGACTTTCTCTGTCATCCCCACTTTTAACACTACTTGACCCTAAGGTCAAGGTCTGTTATGGCGCATTTCCACTACACGGCCTCACTCGGCCCCGCTCGGTATGGCTAGGCCTCGTTAGGACTGGCTCACTTTATGGCGCATTTCCATTGCAGTTTAGGAACTGGGGTAGTATCTATAGTAACGCAGTGTAGGCGGAGCCGTGACGTCATCTTCAATGAGAACCCCAGAAAAACAACACAGCCGTTAGCTGTTAGCACTCAGAGCTCACAGCTCCTCATATATGTTCAGAAACTAGACAAAAGTTAAACAAGTACAAACCACAGACTGCCTGTGTCATGGCGAATACAGTCGCTGCTTTATTTATGTCTGTATAGGCCGTTGTTGTGAGTGTGGACGGTCGGAGCATATACTGCGTTAGCTTAGCCAATCTCCATTTAGAACACACGCATTTTAAAAGGTTTTTCGCCTGCCGTCTGTCTGCAGACTTGTCAAAGCATTAATTCATGGTTTTTACTAACCGGTATCAGTATGTTGTTACTTCGGCATCATTTTGAAACGTGTATTACAATTAAATAACGGTCAAATATGTCCATCTTGTTGTAGTTGTAGCCCCCTTGCCAGCGATGCTCTCTCTAGTTTAGCATACTCAGCCCGACTCAGCCTCGTTGTCTCTGGCCCTAGACCCACGATTTTATGAGGCCAGAAAAACTGTGAATTAGGACCCGCCGGCCGGTACTAGGCCAAGTGGAAACGCAACCAAAGACGGGCCGCTGACGTCACAGCCCTCTTAAACCGTGCTCCGCGCTGTAGTGGAAACGCGCCATTAGTTGGTTACTACGGTACTTTATGTGGGACGTCTGTTTGGACATGTTGTCATGAACATGTTTAAAAGTCGATATTGAAGCAGTCTCCCTTTAGTTCCTGCAGCACTGCTGGTGACTAATGTTGTGCTGTGTGTAAGGTAATTATTTCTCTGTCATTTAAATAATCTATGTATTTGCACATTTACAAAGACTGGGCAGTAAGGCTTTACGTTTTTGCTGGATTCTGATATGTTTTTTTTCTATGTGCTTGATCAATTTTAACAAGAAAAACAAAATAATCTGTGTTTTCATTTCATTTTGCCTTGCAGATAGAAAAAAACAATGCCTTTTTAATCAAAAACAATTTCTTCTTCATTTCAGAGTTAAAAGATGAGAAGCAAATCGTTGTACAATTGTTTTCTCTCCTAAAACTACAATGATGGTGAATTCTACTTTATCCTACTTCCTTCTTAGCACTTATATCCATGTTGGGAATTTGAGGTACTTGTATTTCATGATAACTGCAATTCTATACATTGTGATTGTTTTTGCCAACACGTCTCTGATTGTGGTTATCTGCGTGAACAGGAGCTTACATGAACCTATGTACCTTTTTCTGTGCAGCATGTTTGTAAATGAACTGTATGGTAGTACAGGGTTGTTTCCATTCCTTCTGGTTCAGATCCTCTCTGACATTCACACTGTCTCTGCTCCGCTCTGCTTCCTGCAGATTTTCTGCTTGTTTACATATGTAAATATACAATTTTGTAATTTAGCCATCATGTCTTATGACAGATATCTTGCTATCTGTTATCCTCTGCAATACAACATTCGTATGACTTCTAACAAGGCGGTCATCTTCATTATTCTCATTTGGTTGTACTCTTTCGTGAAGTTCTTGATAACTTTATCCTTAAATATCCGTTTGACACTGTGTGGAAACATCATTAACAGTTTGTATTGTCATAACTACCTTGTTGTTAAATTGGCATGTTCTGACACTCAGGTGAACAACATTTATGGATATTTTGGTACTGTTCTCACAATCTTTGTCCCTCTCTTTCCAATCCTCTTCTCTTACATTAAGATCCTCAGAGTGTGTTTCTCTGGTTCCAAACAGACCAGACAGAAAGCTGTCAGTACCTGCACACCTCACCTTGTTTCCCTCCTCAACTTCTCTTTTGGCTGCGGCTTTGAAATGTTTCAGAGTAGATTTGTTATGAGCGGTGTTCCCAGTGCGCTGCGTATTATTCTGTCACTGTATTTTCTCATCATACAGCCACTAATGAACCCTGTCATGTACGGACTGCAAATGTCAAAACTAAGAAACATATGTAAACATGTGCTCTGTTATAAACTGTTGGCTGGTGGCAGAAATAACAAAAGTGTCAGTAAATGAATGTCTTGAAATGTTCTGATTAAACATGTATCTAAGTGGAAAAAAATGTACCGTGTTTATAGTGTTGACAACAAGGTATTATATTTCCACATTAATTCCAATATTCATGTATCCACAGACAGATTGCAGATGTATACAGTGTAATACACACCTAAATTATTACCTGTACACATTTCCATCTGATCAATGATAAAGACCTGCAGGACATTACACAACATCAAATCCACGTCCTGCGGCCCTGACATTATAACAACAGGCTTGGTATATGAAATAATAAACATGTATGGCTTCTTGAATCAAACTAACTGTTTTGATGTGTTCCAGTCAGGCTTTCGACTGCACCTCAGCATGGAGACTGCTCTTGTCAAGGTCTTATTATTAGATCTCAGTGCTGCATTTGACACTGCTGACCACAAGATATTAGTAGACTGACTGGAAAACTGGGTGGGAATCTCACAGTTCCAAATTAGTCTGAATCCTTCCTTAAAAGACAGGGAAAACGTGTTTCTAATGGAAATTAAACAACAACAACAAATATATGACATGGCTGCAACCTAAGAGGCCGGCCTTCAAGCTGTAGAAGGAGGACCTGTTCATATGAACAGAATCTCAGTGTTAATACTAAAGCACAGATTCTGCCACGTCTCATTGGAATGCAAAGATTTGTACATGATCTCAACATGGAAGAGAAGGCAGCGCTCGGCTTATTTAAATGTGCAGGTGCAATAAACATATTTTGTCTCCTACATATTTGAATCTTAAAGATAAATAATTGTGATCTTCATAATAAACATAATAATCGGGACATCATTTCAGCAATAAAAGTGCAACCCTGACTGTTAGTGTTGATTGTAAAGTAGTACTAGTACCACTAGTAGTAGTAGTCGGCAGGTTACTTGATACTCAAGGTTTTAACAGTTGTAGTCTCACAAGTTTGAAATACCCTTATTATCAATGTTCCCAGTTTTAAAATGAAAATGTGGTTAAACATTGTTAAACTGTTAACACCTAAATGCTTTAGGAATCCAAACTATAACATATAATAAGTACCCTGTATCAAGATTGATGCAAAACAAGTGAAATTTGACCTTTTTAGAGAGATTTAGCACAAAAAAAAACACTTCTGGGGTCATTTGGGTGGATTTGACCTATCTCTGGCCCCCCTTGGTCGATTTTGGTGATTGACATCTCTTTTTAACCGTTAGAGCCAATGGAATCGAGGGGAACTCCCACATACATACACACGTTACCAAATAAGGAGTGAGAGTGACGCGTAGCCAAAACCGGAAGCTGCGATAACTCTGGTGGCTACCATTAGCAGCTAACTTTTATTCCCCGATTTTTACATACAAATTTAATTTTGGATTATCAATAATTTTTTCAAAGCGACAGACACATTGGTATAACCTATGGATTAACCCTCAGCAGCGTTTTTATCGTTTTAATGCTATTGAACACGACTTTTGATCAGAATAACAGCTAAGGTGAGACGATGTCCCGTTTTTGCTCCGTAATGCTACGTGTTGTGATGTCTGTGTTTGCTTCCCCTGTCGCAAGTTCTGATCAGTGATGATACTATACCTATACAGATGGAGCCTCTTATTTTGGACCCCAGCATACAGCTTCCTGCCTACTGCCAGCCAGTTACCTGCCTAAGACCTGCCAAAGACCAGTATTCAGGAATGTTAGGCCCTCCCACTATTCTCCAATTTCAGGGATTAACCAGGAGATGGCGCTATATATTAAATAACTATGGCCAAACTAAGACTTAGTTTTTCACAAGAGACAATGCAGATATTATATAAAAAACTAAAGTTAAAATCTTGTTTTTAATGCCCCAAGAGCAATAACATCTTGTCACAAGCTTTTTGGAAGAAAAAGACTTCAAGAGACCTGTAGTTGACTAATTACAGGCCTCAATAAAGTTCTGCCATTGGTTGTGAAAAACAACGGTGGACATAGTGGAAAGTGAAATTGAGATTGTCAAATTTAATAAAAATACAAAATAATGTATCTGTGTACGTGTTTTACTATATGTGATCTGCATGCACTTATCAAACATCTAATTAAAGAATGGGGAGGAGCAAAAAACACACACTTCAAGTCAGATCATCACCCTTAGCTATTTCAATTACCTCTCAAACAACCTAAACTAGTTATAAATGTTTATTTTAAATAAAGTCTTTATGACTCGGAATATGAATAAAATGGGCCCGTTACAGTTTGTTTTCATCTGATTTCAAATAAACAAATAAACAAAATTTAGATGATAAATACAACTATGAAGCCGACCCCCCTCTGAGTGAATACCTGTTAACTTAATTGTTAACACAATAAAAATGATAACAAGAAAAGTTCATGTTTTATCAAGATGATGGGTTTCCCTAACGCTCAGAGTCGCAACGACTAATTACAGGCCTCAATAAAGTTCTGCCATTGGTTGTGAAAAACAACGGTGGACATAGTGGAAAGTGAAATTGACATTGTCGAATTTAATAAAAATACAAAATAATGTATCTGTGTACGTGTTTTATGTGATCTGCATGCACTTATCAAACATCTAATTAAAGAATGGTAGCTGTACCTCTCAAACAACCTAAACTAGTTATAAATGTTTATTTTAAATAAAGTCTTTATGACTCGGAATATGAATAAAATGGGTCCGTTACAGTTTGTTTTCATCTGATTTCAAATAAACAAAGTCTTGGCTTTCAGAATATTAAACTTGTTTCGGCAAATTTAGATGATAAACTTTAAACTTTCACACACGTTGACCGGCGAAAAACTCTGCCCGGTTCACCGACCCCCCTCTGAGTGAATACCCAAGATATCTTGGTTTGATTTGGTTTGATTTGGAGAATTTATTTAGCTACTTGGCACTAAGAGTACAGATATGTCTACCCTTTCTTTTCAGAGTGTAATATCTGCATTTTCTCTTTTGGTTTGAATAGGAGAAGGGCAATGGTTATCGATGGTGCTTTTAATGCCTATTGTATACGAACTGTGTGATTTATATTGCTTTTCAAATGCATATAAGCCCCCCATTTACACTGCACTTCCCCGTCAAGAAAATGAATAGCACTTAGTTAGATCACTTTACAGATCAGGTTGGACCAGCCCTGTCGCTACTCTCTGCATTTCCTACTGCAGATTAAAAAAAAGCTACAAATGTGTATTTCTTAATAAACTAAATAGGCCACCATTGGTAGCAGTTCTCATTATATACTTCTCAGTATACTTCCCCCACCCGCCCACTGTTTGTTGCTTTTTGACATGTAAATGGGTAACTACCCCCCTCTGAGTGAATACCTGTTGTACCTGTCCGGGGCTAAGCCCATAGGACGATGCTCTGATGTCATCACCCTCGCACATTGGTCATATGTTTATGAGATCACTGTGATTCACTTCTCCGTGGCTCCTCCGTGCAGAGAGGCCCCCCCCCGTTGACAATTCACGAGCGTCTAACTCTCTCCCCCCTCCCCCGTCGCACCTTCTAACAGAACCCCCCCCCCCCCCCCCCCATATCTGGATTTGGCCCACAGACCTAGAGAGTAGCAAAATACAGTGAGTCCTAAACACAAGTAGTCAGGGTTCATTTATAACGCTTATTTTGATTTATTTTTCTCAAATGATGCTGTATGTTTCACTTTCTGAAAGCGTTAGAATCGCACATGAAAAATATTGAAAGCTGCCAGCTGCCCTCGGCCATGTCTTTGGCGGTGATCCAAGCTTCGGTACCACAGTGGATAAAGTTAGTAATACATTTATAGGCTACTGATCAAATGTCAATACATTACATAAGTCTTATTCTCATTCATACTTAATTTATTTCTTCTTCTGTCAGTATGAACACAAAAAACTAACCGGTATTACATTTCATTCTAAAGTTTACGGTCTAAAAAGGTATTTAAAACAGATAATTTGTCGTTGCTTTTGGCATAAGCAGTCAGAGGAAACATAACGTTCTCAGTAAGATTCCTTGAAGAACTAGAGCACAAGAACCAAAGTAAGCTTTACTTTCAATGAACCTTCAATATAGACCTAACATGTGAAGAAACATACTTTATTTAAAATAAACATTTATAACTAGTTTAGGTTGTTTGAGAGGTAATTGAAATAGCTAAGGGTGATGATCTGCGAACACAAACTACAGACTGCTGGAGAAGAGATATCACAGGGGGGGGGGTTGGGACACACACATTCCGATGGCCAATTCGTTTTAAACAAAGAGTAGGCTATACTCAACATAGTGGGGTGGGGGCTGGTGTACGGTATGGTCAATGTTTGTAAACACTGTGACATTTTGACTTTATTTGATCATTTCAGTTAAAAACTAACGTTCATATTTCATATTACTGTTTTGCCTGGCTGGACCTGTAATTTACAGGAAAGGAGTGCACGCTACTAAAGAGACACGCTACCATGGAAACCAAACAATGGTGTTGCTGTATTGAAGTCCGAGTGGAAACAGTCATATTTGGAGCGTTATGTTAGAATGAAACAGCGAGGTCGTGACTCACAAAAAAAAAGTGTTACTTCACTAACTGTAAGCTTGTCACTCAGAGTAACCTACAGTTAACTTAACTGTTGGAAAAGAAAGATCAGAGGGGGAGAGAGCTGTGATGGGCCATTAGGAGTGTGAACACACAGCTGAGAGCTGCCGTTTCATTCTGACTGTTTAAAAAACGGTAACAACGGACTATTTTTCTTAGCGGATGCATGTAAATTTAAATCAATACATACAACTATTTTTTAAATCAATAAAAATATTTTCTAAATCCATAAAAGCATTTTAATTAATATTGGGACTCATGTCGTTACTTTGTGGCCATGTAATAAGCGGGATAATTTGCAGCGACTTGGTCATTATGGGGAAAAATAACACCCAGGGATCAGTAATTTTTAGTGAATTACTGAGTTTAGGCACGTTAATAACATTTTAATGAAGTTGAATACAGTATATTCATATTTGTCAGTGATTTCATGTCAATTCGGCGAAC